CTCAATACTATACAATTTATCGTATACAGTGTATTTCTCTGTATGAGCTTTTGAGCTTTGAAGCTGTGTGTGTGCGTGTGTGTGTCTGTGCACAAGTGTGTTCGTGTGTGTGTGTGTAAGTACATGTTGAGTTGGAGTATGGTGGGGGTGTGTGCATCTTTGTATGACATGCAGGTGTTTGTGGCCAGATGTCCATATGAGCTGATTGCTAGTGGTTGTTACAGCTTTGTTTTTTATTCACTCCGCTTTGTAACGAGATTTCATTTGAGCTCGACCTTGATAAAGAAATTCAAAAGGATCTCAGACACACAAACCCCTGCACAGAGGTCCATGCACACCCACACATGCGCTCTTTTTAAGTAATAAAACCATGGGGCATCTTGCAGCACCTCAAAGAAGCTGCTGCTGTCAACTTATTATGTGGAAAATAATTCATTTTTTGTGTTTTTTTTGTGGGGTTTTTTTTTTCCATTTAAAAAAAACAGCAATGAAGTTATGTAAATAAGTTGGCATTTAAAAGGTTAAAATCCCAAAACCTAAATGAGTATTTGGTAATTATGATCAGGACCAATAGTGGTTAAAATAAACTAATGATTAAAAGTGTAACGTAATAGTATATGAAATTTTAATGCAGTTTTTTGGTGAGGCGTGCCACAGAATTAATGTTGGTGGTAATCATTGACATGTCCCAGACTGTGATTATCAAAAAAAGGATTTTTCCCCATAGCACCTATTATATAGAAAATTATTGCTTGTTTGAATTAGGAACAACAATGACATCATATCATCAAACTGGCATTTAAAGGGTTAAAATCCTAAAAATACATAAATGTTTGGTAGTTATGATCAGAGCTGATGTAGATTAAAAGAAATAAGTCATTGAAAAGTGAGACATTGACGTTGACTTTTTGTCTTGAAGGACTTCTGTGTAGTCTTTTTAATTGACTCCTGAAGATTGACCGTGCTTAGTGAACTGATGTAGATGTGTACAATTATTGGAGCGCCTGTTTAACCAACATCACCTTCTTGTAGTCTTTTTCCATTTTACTGTTACTTGTGTCACTTGAAACAAGTAAACCAAGTGTCCACTTTTCAACTTTCAGTCATGTCACTGTGTCAGGTAGACAGACCTGTTGACATGTAATGATTCACTTATGTGTTGTCTTAAATGCTAAGCATGCAAGTACATTCATGAATATGGAAATATAAGTTTGATAAAACAATCTCAAGTTCCAGTTTCTGGAGTTTTGGTCATAGGTCAGGGTGGGTCTGGCTATGATGATGTCGCTTTGTTAGCCCACCACTTTGGTCCTGACTGTGCCTCTAGAGCGACAATGAGGCTGATATGTGTGGTTTTAAGTGAGATCAACAAATACTAAATCGGTTGCCATGGAATTGGGTGTACACATTTATGTTTGCCATCTGATGAGTCGTAATGTTTTGGTGGGAAACTTAACTTTCTTCTGGGATTTGCCCAGTAAGTTGATGTTCCCCCAAAACTAAAGACGTTCATTAGTGACAGTTTTACTTTGTGTTTAGTGCTAATGATGACTAAAAGGTTGACATTAAACCTGTCAAACATTGCCATGTGAGCATGCTAATGTCAACATTTTGCCAGTACAGACTCACTGAGGTGAGAAACATGGCAGTCGAGCCTTAGCCCTATGCTTTCATGGATGTTTTTATCCATCACACAGTGGAGGACAGCTGAGCAAACTACATTTGCTAAAGAAGACCACAAGATACAGTTTACAGCTCTGGGAAAATTGTAATAAGGAGGCCTTGATGTTGGATTGTTCTAACTTTGCATGACACATGTTCTTATTGTATGACATGGCTAGTTCTCTTCATTTGTAATATTGTGGTTACTCTGCTCTAGCATATATACGCTTCAATTTTACGGCACATTATTAACTACTGGAGGATTCATATTGAGGAGTTTTGTGGACTGTTGGTAAATCTTTCAAAAAATAGTCATGATGCCTCCAATAATGTTTTTTAAGGCGTTGATTAACTGAACTGAACTGATGTTATTGTCTATTGCCTGGCCTATTTCTCAATTCCTTTTCAAGTGCGAACCATTTTGTGGGCCAGCGTCCTTTAGTCATCATGTAACTGGCTGTATCCATCCATCCTTGGCTCATGTTTATCCTACTCTTAGTATTGTAAATATTAACTGAAGGCCTTGCCACTATGCCACGGCTAACCAAATTTTCTGTCAGTGGGTTCCACTGTGTCTCACCATGTGAAAAAGAAAACACTTTTCAGCAGATTCTGTAGCATTAAAAGGACTAATGACATGCAAACTCTGCTGGATAGAAACATCTATATTTTCCACGGCAGGGCACAGACTGTGGTTAGTGCCTCACAGGGAAACTTTGAAACCAGATGGAGCTAATCCCACACAAAACATCATGAAAAGAACCGGGGGAGGGGGGTGTGACGAGGGGGATTTGAGACAAACGCTGATGCACTTGGCAAATTTCCATTCTTGGATTTATTGGGAGGTTTATTATCGTCACCAAATGCACTTCGACGTTCACATGGGTCATACAGCAGTAACTACTGCATTGCACTTGGGGCTAAGTCTTGTATGACTGGATTTTTGTAATAAGACTGAGTCAACGCTCTTATTGTTTACTGGTGGAGTTGTTAGAGATCAAGGAGGCGGGAGAGAGTCTGGGACCGACTGACTCAACATTAACTCTATGGAGAGTGTCATGGACAGTTGGCTCTGCATGCTTGTTCCTGAGGCATTTCTAATATTAGCCTAGCCTTAGGCTACTTCCGCTGAACACTCTCCCACTCACACACGCTCCCACAATACAAGATTGATGTGCTGTGTCTTTGGCTTCAGGGCAAGTTATGAGCTCAGGATGTCTTTTTACCCACCACAGCCCTGACAGGTGGTGACAGGCCATTTTGAAACGATTTGTGAGTAATGGTGAGGCCAAAACTGCCACAGTGTGCCTCCCTCTGTGCACCTTTCAACAAGCTCTTAATATTACATCCTGTCAACAAGGGGCACACAGGTGAAGGCAACGCAACAAAACAAGCTATTTTGTGCAGACGTCTACATTTTTCAGTGTTTATGAGCCTGTGGCACCGTACTACTGATATCCAGAGTTTGGACAGTTGTGAGGTCACATGATAAAATGAATGCTTTTTATTTGTAGCAAGTTTTAGTTCCCTTTGTAAAAAATATTTCTAATATATCTTAAAGAAGACAGTAATGGTTGATTTGTGTCATGAAGTGTTAGTCATCTATTTTTTATTTTATAGGTTTGTCTGACAGTAATATTTTTGCTTATTTTGTGAATCTGTGAAAGTGAAAAAATGTAAACATCCATCACAAGTTTTTAAGCACTCAAGGTGATGCTGTCAATGTAGTAGTTAAAAAAAGTTGATAAATGAAGAAGCAAGCCCGCTTGCACATTGTGCCAACAGTATCCCCACTCGTCACTTTGTTGATTATTGGAAGTGGGTAAACATGGCCATTGCTATAAGTTATCTAACCTTTAATTCTAACTAAAGTAATACCACTTTATGCCCATTTTTTAAAAAAGATTTAAATATTACTTTATGTCAATTTGACACATTGGTCATCTCTTTTTACCTACAAACTTCTGTGGCCACAGTAAAAATAATGAGCAGACGACAGTTTCCTGGCACCTCGATGTTCAGCCTTGATGTGAATTTAAGGCATAACTGATGTGTCGAGGCTGGTGGACACAGTTGGTTGAATTACTTGGTGTTTTTTCTCATTTCAGCGTACGCACAGATTCAGCCTCACTCACTGGTTCAGCAGCACAAGCAGCAGCAGTTTGTGGTCCAGCAGAGTCAAGGTTCCCAAAGAACGACGGGTCAGTTGCTGCAGACGGCCTCCATTCAGCCGTCACAGCACCCTGTCCCTGTGCTGCCCAAACCTGCTCCACACCTGCCTCCCACACCCAGCCAGCAGGCCACTATCTTCCACTCCACTATCAGCCCTCACGCCCTACACTCCTCCCTCAACCATGCCAAAGCTCAGCCCGTCCAGCTCACTGCCATCAACCTACAAATACAGCCAACGGTATGTACTGATGCACGCAACAATGTCTCAAACAGGTGACCTTGAACAGCAACAGAACATTTTCAAAGCTTCTTTTATCTGCGTTGTTTGTATCCATGGCAGCTATCTACCAGTCTTTCAACTTTTGGTGGCATATTGCTAAGTTTCTTCTATCTGTGGATAAGCATGAAACCATTGGCAGGGCTTTGTATCATGTCACCAACCAGGTGTGTGCTTGCAAATTAAAGCACGTAAATAGACAGCTTAGAAACATTCAGAGGTCAAACACTCTACAAGTCAAAGAATGTTTCTTCTAGTAAAGCAAATAATAGTCCATTCTCTTAAATAAACTTTTCACCTTTCTAATAGCATAGATATAATGTTCTAGATAGACATCACTCTCATAGTAACATGCTGCACAATATCCATTGTAGATGCTTCAGAATTTGATAATGAATATGACTGAATTTGTTGTCTTCTTCTTGTGCCTCAAGAAGCATACAGTAGGTTTCTGTTTAATTTGACATCCCCACTTTTTGTGTTCTTGTGACATCCTTAAATTTACTATTTTGAAAGTGGTAACCAGCAAAACAAAAACCTCTGTTCCAAGAACACCCACAGTCTGCATTTCTCCTCCAAGACATACATATGAAAAAAACGCCGGAATCTTCTGAGTTTGGGATTCTTGGTGTAATATTTTCCCACTGGGGTGATATTTTCCAAGCCTAATGGTTTTCAGTTTTTGAGTCACTGACGTTAAAAACACTAACAGCCCCTGATGGGTGTTGTCATTCCTGTATCAGATATCCTTTCTTATGTCTGGCCTTCTGTCTTTTGTTCCTGATTCACATTTTAGGCCTCTCGAATGGTTCAGGACAATAAAGATAAGCCAACCTCACTAGTGGTCAGAGAGACATGTCAGACTCCCTCTACACAGCAACAACAACAACAACAACAACAACAACAGCAGCAACAGCAACAACAACAACAGCAACCTGCGCCTTCTCCATCACAACCTCCCAAGCCTGTAGAGCAGCCCAAGGTCGATCCAGCCACACCAGCTGTTCAGCCACAAGGTAATGACTCAGCAGGATTTTCCAAGGCACTAAATTACTCTCTGTGGAATACTCACTTTTTGTAAATAAGCTCTTAAACCAATTACCCACCGGGACAAGAGGACTGGTAGCAGTTACAAACTGTGTTAATTACAACTTTTCACCTCCACTCTGAAAATGTACCTTATCTCTGCTCGGCTGTCCTTCGATTGACTACCCCCTGCATAAATCTTCCGTGGAGGAAAAACGAAAGTTAATACTCACTTTTATTTGTATTTCAGCACGTTGTGTCAGCAGCTCATTTAGTTTCACTGTTCTTCGTCTCTTATTACTGTATTGTTGTGTCTGGGATTTGCCTGAGCTGGTGTCAGAAACCTCAACTGATACCCACAATGTAGGAGAAGAGTGGAGAAGCAATGTTATTAAACAACAACACATTTTTAGATAATCCCTCCAGACAGACATTGATAGTGTTAGGATTTATTTGTGCACATGAGAAGTGCTACAAGTAGTTAAGGAACAAATAATGAAAAAATAAAAATAGAGCTTGAAAGGATATAATACCTGGCTTCTCTATCAACCCCACACTGCTGGCCAACCTTGGCTTCAGTGGGTGTGAATGGCAGCTTAGTTTATTTGACCGTGCACAGCAGACAGATATGTCACGGCTCCACTGAATATGTAATGTATAGGAACGTTTACAGAGCGGCTGCTGTATCACTACACTTCTGCTGGCTACGCCAGGCATGAAAATGGTGCATATGTGCTGCAGAGATCCATGCTGCAAACACAAAAATAGATCAGTCCTCTATTCATATTTCTTACATGAGATATGCATAGCCTTTTTACACAGAAATGGCTCAAGAAGTGTCTATATTTTTTCAGATGAACCCGCCAGTGTATAGGTGATGTCTAATTTTAGGGCCTCCACTTTTGGGTTTTTATGACCCTGTCGGCATTATTTTGCCAGTATCAGCTGTCAGCTGTCACTTTATTCCTTCCATCTTCTGTGGATGTCACCTTACCCATATTACAACCATTTTTAAAAAAAAAAACAAAAAAAAACTGAATTTTTACAGCGCTGTGCTGGATCCAGAAACTGGAGATCACGATCTTAAGCTTTTTTTTTTTTTTTAGGGAAAAAGCAAGAATGAAACACAGTAAAACTCAGAGAGCGAACTAGGCATGCTAGGAGCATCTTCGCTCACGTGGTAAATGCCCTAACCACTCAGCCATTAGGTCGCTTAGGGCGAGAGGTTTCTTAATCTACCTGATTATCTAACATGCAGTTTGAACAGACCATAAATCCAGCTTTACTCACGGCTGTCCTTGGGTGATCAAAAAGGCATTCATTGTTTGGAATATGTATAAGCTATTTCCTGAAAAAGATAATGGACCCATTTCACACATGCTGTTTTGTTGGAGTTTATAGTATTGACCACAGAGAGCAGAGATGTTTTGTCACTCCCTTTTACATGCATGAAGTGAGCAAAAAATTAGAATGAGGTCACATCCCATGATTTATTGCCTCTTATTGTTGAGAAATATGACAAAAGAATTCATTACATAGCTAGTCTATTTAATTGCATGAGATTGTACAATAGTACAGTGTTATAAAATGGGTAAGTCATTGTTTTATCGGTAAGTTAGCAGACTGGTACAAATTTTCCAAAAAGGATTAGGAGTCATTTAAAGAGGCAGCTGTGAGTGTTTCAGTTTAAAAACACACATGGCTGTTTATGGACTTTCCCATTTATGTGCGGATGGGACCAGTGACCTTTACAGTCCAATAAACAATGTCTGAGGCGTTCTTGTGTAATAAACCATTATGACAGTTGATTGGAAGAACCTTATTTTGGGGACTATATAAACCTAGTTTTCATATCCTGGACTAAAACATATTTAAGTAATAAAATGTCTTCAAGACTTTGAAGTACCACATGTATAATCCAGTCAAAACGCTTTTAGCTGCATGTATTAAGAAAATCCCAGAAATGTTGCAGTGTCAGTAAAATGCATTTCTGTATGGCTATATTTTATGCTTAATGTGCACATTTTGTCAGCCAGGTGATTAAGATAAAAGGTCGGTAGTTTTAAGATACTTTAAGAGGATGATTATCTGGCAGCTATACTTTGAATCCATTTCTGTGCTCACATTTCCTCTTAAAGGGTTGGTAGTAGTCCTAATGCTGTGCATCTCATAAAATGAACTGTTATGTAAACCACAAATTGGGCAGTGAGTTGGGTGTGATGTGCAGAGCAAAATACTATTTTGGTAATCTACTGGCTGCAGGGTCTAATGAAGATATGCCCATAATTTTATGTTTTGCACCCCAAAAAGATTCAAATTTAAGGAGGAAGCATCCCGACAAGCGCTGCTTTACATGTGGTTTATTTAGTATTTAAAGTTAACAGCTACAAATATTATCTCCTCTGCATTTAGAAATCAAACTTTGTGCACTATACTATCAGATACCCAGAGAAATTGTCAGCTCCCTTTATAGTATTTAATAAGAAGCGTATAAAAAGAGGACTAGGCATCATGTTAATAGCACACTGAGACTGAAGCTCACCAAAAATTTAAAGAAAATGCAAAATGTTCTGTTGTTAGGGTTAGATTTTTTTTGACCTGACAACCATTGTGTACAGTGAAGTCCATGTCCTTTGTATTTTCTCTGGCAATAATGTTTTTGTTTTTTTTTTTTAGCCTCCGTTAAGGCAAACATCAGCACTGGCAGTAGAAATACAGTGCAGCAGAGCTTTATATAACTTTGCAAACTGTTCGTGTTTAACAGTTTGCAACACTGCCGCATTTAGACTTCAGTGTAGAGAAATTACATGCATAAAATCTAAGCCTTTTTAAAAAAATGTTATTTCAATATTTTTTTAAGTAGAGGGAGTGTTGTTACAGAGGCATACATGTCTGGGATGTCCACCTCTGTCACCCAATTAAAAAAGCCATACAATTTGTAGGATCTGTTAATGGAAGTAAAACATGATGGATATCAACATTTTTTTATTTTTTATGTTTAATCTGCAAAAAGGTGATATGTAACTATGTCATCATAGCAGCAAATAACAAACATGCACCCTGCTGTGTATGTGTGGAACATCAGCCACATCCGGTTTGTATGATGCAAAGGTAATGTAAATTGAAACTGCATCAGAGAAATCAGTCGCAGAATAGCCACAGATTAGGATGGATTTGGATGGTGCAGTATGGCAGTCTCGCTGATTTATTTATATGTATTTTTTGCATTGTCTGAATGCAAATATTCTGTAAAGAACAATTCTACCCATCACTGTTTGGAGGGAACACCAAAACTGTTTTCTTGCCTTGTCCATGACAATTGTGATTTGTTCAAGGAAACCAGCCCCATTGTCTTTCTGCAACACAGCAGAATGGTAGTGAGGTACAGCCACACTACTTCTGGGCTGGCTTCACTTTTTAGACCCGGAGGCTATGTCTATCTTTTATATACAGTCGATGCTTTTCCCATACAGAGCTTGACGAATGAAGGATGTATTTATGCACAAACATTTTAAGTCAGAGAAAACCTGTGTAACATCCAGTCGTTCTGCATGAGTGGAGAGGTGTGCACTTTGGTCAGCTTTCTCTTAAATCCCATTCAGGGCCATGCTGAAAACATGCCTGCTGGTGTGGTGTTTATTTGCTGCTTTAATATTCCGTCATGGGTAAACTGGCCGCGATCGTTGGGAGTAAAATAAGATATTTCTGGGCTGGAGGCTCTGTGCTCGTCAGTGTGACTCTGGTTTGAGGTTCCCGGTCGAAACGTGTCGACGTGCTGCTGCAGCCTGAGGAGGATCAGGACTGTGGGAGGAAACGGGGAGGCGGACCCTGTTAAAAAGCTTTTTCATTTACGGGTGTGAAGCGGCGCTGCAGCTTAAAGCAGCTCAGAGCAGCAGCAGCAGCAGCAGCAGATCGGTGTGTGTCTGTTTGTCTGTGTGTGTGTGTGTGTGTGTGTGTGTCGGATCATTAGAACAACAAACAAACCAAACCGCACATGTTTTCTGTCTGAACAGAGCCAAAGTTGCGCGGTAAGAAAACTCTTCTCTTTAACATTCGTGGCTTTAAGATGACAAAGCATAGCGGCTTCATGTTTACTTTCGCTTTTGTGTGTTTTGTAGTGAAATAGCCGAGACGTAGTTGTAATGGTTGAACCGATCACATTACAGACCAGGGTGTGTTGTTTTTTGTTGACAGACATTGTGTCAGTGGGTCACTTCACATGTTCAGCTATTGTTCAGAAGAAACGTTATTTAAATGAGCGGTAGGCAGGTGGATGAGCGATGCTGGTTTACATGTAGATGACAAGGTTGTGACAATTGTGTGCTTAGTTTTACATGATTTAACCGTAGAAAGACATATTGCTTAGTATCTGACACCTCACTACTGTCTGGCAAATAGTAACAACAATTACTTAAGTTGTAGCATTGGTCATTTTCCTCAGAAGATTTACCTTCCACATTTATGGCTGTACTAATAATCGGTTAATCTATGTACACACAGATTATCAGGATGTGTATCAAGACTCCTAATGTGTAGCTGATATCTTTAAATGTCTTGTTTTGGTCACATTACAGCCTCCAATCCCCAAATATTCAGCTGTCTATCACATATAACAAACGTTTCAGAAGCTGAACCCAGTTCATGTAGGTGGAGTGAATCTAAAGCTCCTGTTTAATTTTCAAATTTGTTGCAAATTGGTTTTTCCTAATAATCTGTAGGTCAGGAATAGTTTTCCTATATTTTGTTACTAAATAGCAGGGAAGAAAATGCTAATTAAATGTTCCTGGAATTGGCATATTCAAAATGCAACCATCTTATCTCTGGAAATATTCAGTTTGCCATCATATATACCAAGGGATACATCAAATATTCAGTTTTGACAAGCTAAAACCAGAGAATGTGTTGCTTTTTTGCCTGTAAAAATGACTGAAATGATTTATGAGTTACAATTCTGACAGAGTACGTGCCCTTGTATATTAACTGGATGTTGTATTCATTTCTCGGTCTGGAGGGGGCTCAACCAAGAGGCCAAGTGTGGCACCAGGGACCCCACCTCCAGCCATGACCTCAGGAAATGAGAGCGAAGCGCCCACCGTGACGGGCAGCACGCCGCAGAACGGAGAGAACAAACCGCCTCAGGCCATCGTCAAGCCCCAGGTCCTCACACATGTCATCGAAGGCTTTGTCATCCAGGAAGGAGCCGAGCCGTTCCCTGTGTGTGTAAGTAACCCATCTCTGCTGTACCGGCAGAGAAACATGATAAACAACCCAGAGCCGCCACACTCCAGTGTACACGTCTGCAGGGAGCTGTCAGTAGGCAAACACAAATCCTCTGGTACTGCTAGTAGTGACAGCTTGCAGCTTCTGTTTGATCCAGTCATTAATTACAGGTAGATAGGACTCTAGCAGTGAAAGAATACAGATGGATCAAGGTATGTGTGTAATGAGCATTGTAGTGTCTCAGTTATCTCAAGGCATAACAATGCTTCTTTAATCTGTGTCATCTCCCTTAAAACTGATGCCTTATTATCTGATATTTTTTATACAGTGGATCTGTATGCCTGGGGTTCACATTTATATCTTCCCATCTGTATTAACCATTACAAAACAAGTGTTAACACTAAACAACACAGTGACATGTGCTTGTTGTAATTTCTAGACTTTGAGCTCTCTGCCTCCTACTGGACATGTGGTGTCAATGCTCGCTGCTGCTGGTGCATGCTTGTAGCGCTGAACAAGCACATTGCATTAATGCTGACAAACATAATGAAAGAATGCAGTATCTACATTTTAAAGACATTGGAGTGGTTCACTGAGTTACGGTTGTTTATTATCCATTACACACTGTCAGTTTTTTCCAATAATCATTAAGGGTTCATTTTATGAAACGCTAACATTTTTGGTATTATATTCTGGGTTTAATGTTCCGAATGTTTGAGTAATTGAATATTTGACTAAATGTTTGAGCACTATTGAATGCACATTTCATGATTTGCCAGCAGTGTCTCCTGTAGTTGGCAGGGCTCCATAGTAGCTTTTTACATTTGTTTTTACAATTTAGGAACAACAAAACAAATGCTGCGGTAAGTGTAACCAGTGGACTACTGTATTGTGTCATTATAAGGACAATGTTGTAAAACACTGTGATCTCTTGGAGGTTATCTGCAATTATTGCGACAATAACAAATAAAAAAGGAAACCCACCGTGTAATGAGCTGCCTGCTCCATCGCCTCTTCTACTGGAGAATAGTTCGAAAGGGTCGAGAATGTGCACGAACGACATGTGTGGAGCTAGCAGCAGGGGCTAGCAGTGTGTTTATTACTGACTAGTCAACAGTGCCTTCACAATTTCTGGGGGCTACTGGCAATGCCCCTCCCAAATGAAACAATCTGCTCACCCCTCCCCGAACCAAAAGTGACCTGACCCCTCACATGATTTTTGCTTAGACATAGAGCACCAACAGTGTTTACAACTGGCATATCAAATGAGCTGCGATAATAGTGTGAGACAGCAGGGAACAGCTGGAGCACTGCACATTGGCAAATGACAGTAGAAACCACTATTAGAATGGATGGACACAAAAAAAGTAAATAAATAATAAATTCAAACATCGAGAAAGACGCACGTTGTAATTCACTATTGTCTCTAATAGGTCAAATAGTAAACAAATGTCACTATGATATGTAGCACTTAGCTTGTACACAAAATAACATGAAGCTAAAATAGAACACCAAGCAGCAGTGACTCAATCTTTTGGATCATCTCCAAACCGTACAAACACCTTTGTGTCAGGTTCACAGAGTAGCCAGCAGGAGCTCACAGCACCCAAAGCAGCAGAGAGAAGCGGAGGAGTTGGTAGCAACAACTCACAAAGCACGCTAGCGCTGATCTGCAATGTATTGAACAATGCAGGTGGTGGGGAAAAAAAATAATGCTACATACTCACTGTCACACACCTGCTAAATATTAGGTACACCGGTGCAACTGATGTATATGATCAGTCTCACTTGACAGATTTTTAGGGGCATATGTGACCAAAATGGTTGCACTCTGGAGCCCTGGTTTGTTTATCATCAAAGTTAGCCGAAAATTGATGATAAATTATCTTGGATATAAGTAATTGTAGTAGTCATGGTCTTTGCTTTAATGTTGCAGCTTTTATATTTAAATGCAGTTATTCAAATACAGTCAAATATATTGTCGTTAGTCTCAACTGTTGTTTCTTATTTGTGGAGCTTGTAGCGCTTCATTTTGGTACTTCAGTAAATATTTTCTACATCACACCAGGTGGAGCGCCTGCCCATTCTAATCGACAGCCCAAAGAAGCTGGATCATCAGCTCTCTTCAGACCCCGACAAAACGCCGGTCAGCAACGCAGCAAACTCCGACTCTGAGCCCGAGGACATGAACCAGCCAGGTGAGACCAAGCAGATTAAAGTGTAATAGGTTGTGTATATTTGTTTGTTTAGCTTTGTCCCGTTCAGAAAGTGTATTACCCGCTTTCTCTCCACACATTTCTTGTCTCCGTCGCCATTAAATTCATAAAGCGTATGAAATTGCAACATTGCAATGAATCAGCCTGGTAACATGGATAGCTCTGTTTACAAATTCATGGGTATTGTGCAGAGCCTCTGTGATAAATGATGTCCAAAACCAGTTCTGCACACTTGAAGGATGTTCTCAGTGTAATAGAATCGGCCTGCATATCTTAACAAAACCACTTAAAATGTACATGGCTCTATCCTTTTCTCCCCAAATTAAAGCCAACCTGCTGAATGACATGCTCTTCTAAAAGTTCATTGTTAATTAGATGTAATATCAGATTTTGTTTCCTGGCACATTCTACTTTATCTAGCTTTTTTTAATGGTTAATGACTTGGAGCCTCATGATAGAAAATATGCAGTAAATGTCTGATGCCATAACCGATACAGAAGAAAACATTTGCTTGTACAATGTTAATGTAAATGAACACTTGTTGTTTTGCAACAAATGCATGCAAGAAGTGATATCAGTAGTTTTACACACATTGGCTTACTGCTGAAAAAACAACACAGTGGAACACACCAAGAGTATTCTTTTGTGTCTCTGTGGTGTTGATACATGTTCTGCTAAACAGCCTCATTGCCATCATCTGTGCTTCCTTCAAAAAAAAAAAAAAAGATAAGCTAAAAATAAAAACAAAATATTTTGAGTGTTCCCACTTTGCTATTTGGTGCAAAGAAAGTTGTTGAGAATTTCTGAATAACATCTGCACCCTAAGTCTCAATCATCTCCTATCTCTGGAGCAGAATTGTCAATTTAATATTGCGTAATAAATCATTCTGATGATCTACAGCTTCATTTTCTGCATATTGTAGATACTGAATATGCTGATTATAACATGTCCCTCTATTTCAGTAATTTGGTCAGAGTGGATGTCAGTTTTCAAAGAACGAATGTGTCATTTCACAAGAAAAATGAATGCTTAGAGTGTCTCATGTTTCTGCTGCTTGCTCTCCCGCAGAAAAAGAAGAACCCAAACTGACGTGTGAATACTGCGGCTGGGTCGACTTTGCCTACACGTTCAAGGGCACTAAAAGGTTCTGCTCAATGGTTTGTGCAAAAAGGTAAGTCACCTTGGTTTTTATATTTCTTTTCATGTGACAAATTAGCAGTTTCTGTCATAATATAAAAGAAAAGCTCTAAAAATAGTGCATGTTCCTGAACAGGTACAACGTGGGCTGTACAAAGCGGATAGGACTCTTTCGTCCAGAGAGAAACAAACCAGCAAATCGCTGGCGTCGAAGATCTCAGGGCCGCGCCGGTATAGAGGCGAAAAAGCAGGTAAAGGAACGCGCACACACATACTCACATTTCTTCGCTTATGTAAAAGTTCCCCATCAACACTTTATACCTCTCATCAGATAATGCTTCCACTGCACATTTTATACCCCTCACTTTTCACGCCTCATGCTTTTTAATGAAGTTGAGCATAATTTGTGGGAGCCTGATTATCTCCCTCTGTCTTTAAAGGGTCATTAAGTGCTCTATGAGCTCCGTCAACCTTCATTGGTGACCAATAGGAAAGGGATAGCATTAGTAGAGATTTTCTGCCTACTGCACATGTTATATAGTTGTCAGAAGCAACTGGATTGACCTGGTTTGTTTGTTTTTGCCACATATCAAAAACTACTTAAAACTAAAAACTGATATACACAGGAAAAACCATGATTTGGATAATTGCCGTAGGAATTCTGCAGGGGAAAAAAAAAAAAAGATATTATAAACTGTTACCCTGTTTTTTTGTTGCTTTTATTTATTTATTTATTTGTATTTTATGTTTATTTTGATTTACAATCTATGTTGCTTGTTTTTATCTAGATTTTAGTCTTGCTTTTTTTCCCACATATTTTGTTGTTGCTTCACCTAGAATACATAATTTTGGTCAACATTAGCTATATAAACAGACTTGATTTAATTGGACTATATCACAATAATTAATACTGAAAATGTTTTTTTTTTTTTGTTCTGAAAATTTTTATTTTTTTCACGGTGGAAATATTTTCAGTTATGTAATATTTCAGCGGTTAGGTCTTGAACCTCCAGTGGGGGGTGCTTTTGTCTCATGTTTGTACCAATAAGTCGAGTTTTATAATTCAGAGGGTTCAGCACCTGACAAAGTAATCTTCAAGGCATTGGTATCGATCCAATAACCCTATCAACTCCCTGCAGGTGTATTATAGTCATTTGAAGCTATTGTACAGTATAAATCTTACTTATTGCCCCTTTAATCTTTGCTGTGACTAATATAATGTCCTTGCAGTGTTTTACTGATGAACCACCACTTTCTCAAATACTGTTTCTTGACGTCATTCCTGACTACTTTGCTTTCCAGAAGCTGTCCCCTTCACCACAGCAGACTCAGGGTGGTTCTGTATCGTCGCCACATCCCTCACAGCCCAGTCAGGAGGAGTCCAGCCCATGCTCAGACATGTCCAGCTATGAGGAGCCGCCATCTCCCCTGTCGGCAGCCAGTTCAGGGCCCCTGGCTCCTGCTCCGGCCCCAGCCCAGGTCCCCGTCCACCGGCAGCCCAGCAGAGCCTCGGACCAAGAGAGTTGCGGTGGCAGAGACGCAGCGTCATTCTGTCAGCGCTTCTTACCCAACGATCCCACCAAGTGGAACGTGGAAGAAGTTTACGAGTTCATCCGTTCGCTGCCAGGTTAGTGGGGCTTTGTTGAGGAAATACATTCATACAGCTTTACGCATGCACGAATACTGTTTCACTGTGATTCACTCTGCTGTTCACACAGGCTGCCAGGAGATAGCAGATGAGTTTCGCTCTCAGGAGATCGATGGACAGGCTCTGCTCCTGTTAAAGGAGGACCACCTGATGAGCACCATGAACATTAAACTGGGACCTGCACTCAAGATCTTTGCACGTATCAACATGCTCAAAGACTCTTAGCAGGAAAGCATGTGCGTGTGTGTGTGTGTGTGTGCGTGCGCGCGCGTGTATGTAGAACATAGCACTGACAGCACAGGGTACTGACTGCACTGTGACCTGGCATTCTCCACACTACTGGACCGGTTTCTTTGATACAGAATCTCACTCAAGCTTGTCTTGATCCCACAAACAGATCGTACTACATGAGTTCAATCACTACGTGACCAGTCCTATGTGTGGTTGGTAGGACTTCTGGTGATTTCTTTGTTGTGGCTCTTCAAGCACATATATTTCTGCGTATTTTAAAGTATTGTATTAGAAAAGGATAACCTAAAAAAAATGCTTGCTTGAAGTGGTTTTTGACTTCTTCAGAAAAGACCTAATGCACTTCATGGGAGAGAGAAACAGCTTTTCAAGAATAATTTGTAGCAAACATTCAATTCACATGACTGATTTACGCCTTTCGAAACTCCAAACAGCATTAAACATAGCCAATAATGACTGACATGAAACAATAATTGCAACTTGCTCAGTTCGTCAAAATTCTTGAAGAATTCTCTTCACTTTTTGTAGATGACTGAAGAGACGGGTGTTGTTTGTTTCTTCTCTAAGGTATTTTAGTGGTTGGTAAACGTAGCCTATACCACCACTTTTGATGACACTATACTACCACGATCATTCGCTTCAAAACAGTTAATGGAAGCCAGCCTAAATTGCTTCAAATTTGCCTAACAGTTCAACGGAAACACAGCTAATGAAATGTGTAAACCTCTGCAAAAACCATGTCAAAGATACACCTGATCAACCAGGGAGCTGTTTGTCTGATGTTAATAAGACATGATGTAGGTTGATGCAGATGTAACTGCATGCAGAACATGCACGTGCTGCTGTTGGATCCACCAGACTGGGGAATTAAATGCCTTTAAATGGGAATGAAAAGTAAAAAAGAGGAAAGGAAACAAGGGGAGAGAGATGGGATCAACATGATGCAAAAACATTGTGGTTTATGGTCAGACTTTGCTCTGCCATAATCCCACATTCTTAAAAAAATAATGCATGTGACCAACAAGTGAAAAGGTCGCCTTATTTTTGCTTCTCTTGCTATCTTAAGCTTCCTGTCAGAAAGAAAAGCCCTTAACAACAGCACTGCTTTCCTTGACCTGACACATTATCATCTATTATCTGTTTTATCTGTTAGGATCTGATTGCATTGCGACTGCATTGAGATAACAAGATTGCTTATTAATACCAGATGTAGACGCCAAAGGCCCTTATCAAATGTCATTATCCAGATAAGCCACCTAGGTACCAATTCTGGGATAATGTGATAATTCCAGATGTTAAGGGGCTCTTTGATTCAGTCTGAAGGGGAAAAAAAGATCTCTGTAGGAAGTTCATCTTACAAATGGTGAAGAAAATGGAGCTGAGAGAACAAGCAGTGCCGGAGTCCTGTACCTGTTCAGTTGTGTCGAGGTTGGGTCACACTGCAACCGTCAGTGCTGAATCGAGGCATTAAGACAGAACATGAGTGAAGTCTGGATTAGGTATATTATTAGACATGTTTTTTGTACAGTTTTATTAGTGTGTGAATGAGAGAGAGGTGGCAGTAAGTGTGGCTGGGAACAGAAGATTGCATTCATTAATTTGCTCATTCTTATTCAGAAGATGCTCCTTTTGCCTTTTCTCACAATAAGACTCTCACAGCTCTCGAATACAAAGCTGGAATGCAGAGAAACCGTCAAAGCAGCTTCTTTCAGGACATCGATTTTTCCTTTCACTTGCCAGTTTTTCTCCTATACATTTAAACTGCTTACAAATGATTCTTTGGCTGCGTTTTCAAAATGATTTACTAAAATATGACATTGATTTCTTGTCTCGGTGTCATAAGAAGACACTAAGTTATCTGAGTAACAGTTTGGGTTTGCTGCTCTCTTTGCACCACCCTGCTCTTGGCACTTATTTTTATTTTTATACGCTCCACCTAAACTGAAAAATGTATCGTGGCATTTGTGAAACAATGCAGAGAAGTTTGTATGTACATAGCAACAACCAACAAGAGAGGAAAAAAAAGAGTGAGTCTGTCATTTCTTTAAGTTATCTGTTATTTTAAAACAGAAGTTTAATGGTGTTCAATATTTTGAAATATGCAAATGTATAAAATATCATTGGCCTGGGAGTTGTTTTTATTAATGTCTTTGTTTTCTAATGAGAAGATGATCTTATCTATTTGTGTTTTGTGGGTGTTACGGAAAGTTAACTTTTTTAGATGATGCTTTGTCAAATGCTTGTATTTATCAAAACAGTTTGTTACACATTTTGCAGTTATAAATAATTTGCAATACAGTTCTGTCTTAAGACAATTTTTTGCGTCTGTGTGTGGGGGAGGGGGGTCCATCTTAAATTGTTCTATGGGAGATGACTACATTTGATTACATTCATGGACCATGCATCAAAATTGCAATGTGACATCAACCCTTCAACAAATTGCGGCTTTGAAAGTTTTTAGGACTTTGGCGTATAGTATGGTGTATTTTTTTAAGGCCAATGTTCACAATCTTTATTTGTTAGAATCTCCACAGCAGTGCCTTCTTTAAGTTCAAGGTTTGTAGGGAACCAAAAACCTGAAACCAAAGTTAAGTTTAGAATGAAAAAACTCTTTGGTATTATTATTGATATATGATATGGATAAGACAATCATCAACAGATGTCATCCAACTAATACATTTGTTCTTCAGTCATATTGAACTACTGTAGACCAAATAAGAGCAATTTGACTGATAACTCACAGGGACATGAAAATGTGACATCAAAACAACGGATAACAAACAAGATCCAGACTAAATATGGAAACGGTAATAAAAACACACATTAAACAAAACTACAGAAATTCAGTAATTTTGAAATTGAGAAAGTTAAAATGCATCAATTTACAAAATTAGCAACCAACAAATCGAAATACATCTTGTTCACAAACATTTCTGAAAGTAAATCGCTTTAAAGTAATTTTGTTATCGGATATCGCAGGCAATTATTTTTTACAAATAAATAATTAAAAAACAAACAAAACGTAATTATTAATTAGAAGCAATGGCTACCTGCACAAAAGTGTGACATTGAAAGATAAAGTTCACTGTTCATGCGCTTCAGTTGTAATGTACATATCCGGTATATCAGTGCCTCTCGAAGTCTCCGGGTTTTTTTTTAGGAAACAGGACATTTCCAGCTGTTCACATATAATTATGCTGTATACAATGGACCGTGCACACAAACGCACCGGTCGCTTTCCACTTTGTTTTTTTTGTTTTTTACAATAATAACGAGGAACAGGTGGAGCTAGTTTTGTTTCAAACGACAAGCGGAGAGCAGCAGAAAGTTACCATAGTGACACGCCCACTGTTTTGATTTGAGAACGGGCCAAACCAAAAAACAAAAAGTCTCACCCTTTTTCTGTATTTAATGTATAAATGATTAAAAACCACTTATTGTGTATACCACTACATTTCGTATCACAACACAGCCGACCTGTTGGTTTTTCATCATGTATTGAGGCGTTAACGAAGTTTGTAATTTTTAAGCGCCTCCCCATGTCTCGGTAAGAATGGTTTGGTCCAGGTTTGAACTGTAACGTCAGTGTTTATGAAGGTGGTTTTTAAACGGCAGAAACAAACCGACGAGTTGCATTTTTCCATCTGTTCAAGTCATAATAAATTCATTTAAATATCAACACCGGGTAAGTCCAAGTCTGAAAAGTGTCATATTTTTCTTACAGCGCACCTTTACGCTTTTTGTTGTTGTTGTTGTTGTTGTTGTTGTTGTTGTTTAAAATAATGTTACATTTTAGTTTGCAGTTTTGGCTAATTTTATGTATCGTAAATATAAGCGTGTATGTTAGCTTGTTTTTTTATTTTTTGTTTTATTGGTGGAAAGTTCTCCAATACTGCACTTAAGTATGCCTGACATGAGTATTTCCATTGTCAGTTACTCCAGGGCACTTAAATTGCAAATATAGCCTTCTTTTTTTCTATTACTTAATTTATAATTAGAGTAATAAGGTTCTTTGCAGATTTACATGTGCACCACATAAACTCTGATATGTGATTTATGGGTTAATATGGGCTTTATTGATCCAGGGGGATGTGCCTAGTAGCATGTAAAGTAAGTAAAATTACATTACAATCCAGTAATATACAGTATTCTGATATTAGCAATTCTACCTGATTCCTTAAATGTTAAATTTGATCAGAAGGCTTGTCACAATATTTCTGCACTTTAAATAGTATAATGTTATAATGTATAGCCCAATGCTACATAACATTACATATCCTAACCCTGCTTTTAGCTGTAAAATAATATGTTCTGGTCACTTTGACAAACTTAATGACAGTGTTAGTACATTCAAATTCCCTTTAAGGCTCCAAGTAATTATTTTTAATGTCAGTTAGTCAAGAGATTGTTTCATCAATTCATTGTTTTCTTCCCGTTAATTAACAGAAAAAAAGTGGAAAAATGTCTGTCATAATTCCCCACTGCCCAGTAAGATGTTCACATTTTTTGTTTAATTCAACCAACTGTCCTGACACCTAGGAATAGTTACTTAGCTGTCATAGGTGTAAAAAGAAAAGAGGAAGTTCTTAACATCTAAAAATATCATATGTTTAGTTCATTTGTCTTGAAAAATTACTAAATTAATTGATTATCAATTGACCAATGGTCTCAGCAGTGAATTTAATATGTGAATGATTTTTTTCCCATTGTACTTTCACTGTACATATGTTGTGACATAATGAAATAAAGTTCCCAGTTTAACCACTTTAATGAGTGATTTAAATGTCGTAGACTGTTGCTGAAATGCCAAATCAGAGAGAGGAGGTTGCTGATGATTCCCCTACTGACCTTCCCTGTCTGGAAAAACTCAACTCTCCTGCAGGTATGGAGCTTTATTATAGCCGTTATTGTTTTCAGGCACGTTCAGGGACCATTAGTAATTGAATTATTACCACGGTGGCAGTTTTAATTATCTGTGGGTGTGTGTGTCCTGTCTGTGGTGTCAGGGAGCCCACCCACCGCCTCATTATCCAGTCTGATGGAGCTGGAAAATTGTGTTTCCAACCTGAGCCTTGCGCATGAGATAGTAGTGAACAGAGACTTCTGCTTCAAACCCAGGAGCCCTCCCACAGACAGGCAAGAAAAAACACTTCAGTACAGCTAAAGTGACCTTGGTTATTCTTAAATTAAGTGAAAGTCTAGACTCTTTTGAAGTGTCTTTTAAGCCATTTGTCCTCATTTAGCTTGGAAGGCAGAGTGACAGAGGTTGTTCACCGGGCATTTTGGGACAGTCTTCAAGAACAGCTGACCAGTGATCCTCCGAACTACAACCATGCTGTCCTACTGCTGCAGGAGGTCAAAACTGTAAGTATCTGCCATCAAAAGGGTTCACTGAGGCATCTGACTTCACTTTAAAGATCAATACCAAAGTGTAGACAAACGCAAAGTAAACACATCACTAATCTTACACACAGGAAGTTTGTAACATCAGACTAATGATAACTAGGGCTTAATCTATCTATTACTTTATTTAGCAATTACAGTTTTTTACTTGGTTGAGAGTTAGTCCTTAAAATGTCAGAAAATTTGAAATCCCAAGCTCAAGTCTTCAGATGGCTTTTTTCTAACAAACTAAAACTCAAAAATAATTTGTTTACGGTAATATCAAACTGAAAAAAGTCAGCAAATCCATCCATCCATCCATTGTCTATACATTGCTTAATCCTCATTAGGGTCATGGGGGGCTGGAGTCTATCCCAGCTGACTTAGGGCAAAGGCAGGGGACACCCTGGACAGGTCACCAGTCTATCACAGGGCCACACTTAGAGACAGACAACCAAGCACACTCACATTCACACCTACGGACAATTTAGAATCACCAATTAACCTCTCCATGTTTTTGGACTGTGCGTGAGGAAGCCGGAGAACCCAGAGAGAACCCACACTGCACGGGGAGAACATGCAAACTCCACGCAGAAAGATCCCAGCGTGGTATTTTTGTTTAATAAACGACTGAAACAGTTTTTTAATTATCAAATTATCACCTAACACTCTACTTCAATAATAACAACTAATCAAATCTCTAAGTGAAAGGAAGGAAAGAAGGAACATTAACCTTTTTTGTGTATGTTTGTATTTACTGGTCAAACTAGCCCAGAAACAAATTAGCAAATCCAATAATTGAACTGAAAATTAAGAAAAAAGATGATTCAGATGTGGCAGCTTTTTTCAATATAAGGTTGAATTTTTCCTGATGTTTACATGTCTTATGTTATCAGGCTGAACATGTAGATAAAAGGATGAATTGAATGTAAATTTTCAAACTTAACAACTACAATAAATACAGCTTTTGTTTTCCATTAGATGCTTCAGTCCCTCCTCATGCCCGGTCACATCAGACTGAGGTCTCAGCTGGATGAGGTGCTGGACATGGAGCTGATCCAGCAGGAGGTCGATCACGGAGCTCTGGACCTCCACAGACTGGCAGCATTCATTATCGGCACCATGGCGTCTTTATGTGCTCCTGTGCGTGACCCAGAGGTCCGGGCACTGCAGGACCTCAAAGACCCTGTGGAGCTCCTGAGGTAGCACCTCTTTTAGAGATTAATCTTATGTCTGACATGGGCTCAGTGGACCCAGGTGATCTGGCCCACGTATCTCTTCCTGAATTTTAAACAAGTCCAGAGTATGCAGCCAACTGCATTTCTATAATAGTAACGCTGCTAACCCACATTATTACAACAAACCTCATTAAACCAAATCTAAATATGAGGTGTGGCCAACACATTCTAAGACTGCGCCTATGAAAAAGGGACAAATATAGCCACCACACATTTCATAGTAGTCTACTTGTTCAGTGATGCACGACCTTGAGCACACCTGCTACACCTTGAAGTCCCATTCTGCTCAATAGAGAGCAAACATTTGAGACATCAAAGTTGCAAATGTCAATTTCTGTGTGGAAATGAACCAACCTTCATGTTGAAGATTATCACTGGTTATGAGGGTCGGGTCTACAGCTACAACCCAGAGACCAATCAGCAGGCCTCTTTAGAAGAGCCCACATTCTCCAAGACTGCAGGAAGGTGCATCTGGTCAGCAGTGTGACCAGGAGCATGCTTGTTGTTTTGTTTGACATTCACTGGGTTGTGCACTGTGAATTCATCTCCCAGGGTCAGGCAGTCGGTGTATAGTTCATGTTCTACTGTAACTTCCTGAAGTGCACCAATACAATCATCGCTCTCCACCCGTCCCACTCACCAGATTTGGCTCCCCTCCCTGGTGCAGTTCCTCTTTCCCAAAATCAAGTTCAAGTTGAAAGCGTTGCCATTTTGACACAATCAAGGAGACTGACTGCACGTTGCACATGGTGCTTGACATGCTTACAGAAGGGGGCTCCCAGGAAGTGATCCAAGTGAAGCAGGAGAGCTGGGAGAAGTGTATCACTGCAGAAGAAGACTACTTTGAAGGGGATAGCCTCCAAAGGGAAATCAGATTAAGTTTTCCCTTGTTGTAGGCAATAAATCTAACCTTTTTGATTGCACCTTGTATACATTTTCTCATCAATTTCTACTGAGAAGTGCAGTTTTAATCTCAGTTAAATGCATCTTTTGTTAATGAGAGATGTTTACTTCTGCATCCATATCTGCAGTTACCTTTGATTAAAACTGAACTAGATGATCATGCTTTGGCTATTGTAGCAGCTCAACTCCTGCAAAAATTCAGTAAGGCTTAATTAGTGCATATTTACTAAAACTTATTAGCATAATAATAAAAGTGATTCCCTTGCTTTCCCCTTAGGGAGATTTTTCGTGTCTTGGGGCTCATGAAAACCGACATGGTTAACTTCACAATCCAGAGCCTGAGGCCTCATCTCCTGCAGCAGGCCGCGCAGTACGAGAGAGCCAAATTCCAGCAGATCCTGGACAAGCAGCCAGGTGAGCAGACATTTAATTCTACAGTGCTTCAATCTCCAACCTGTCTTACACAGTGAGCGTGATCAATGATAAAGGTGACTTTGAGAGTGTAGCATTTATGTTCATTGGATATTTCAGTTTTCAATTAAATAAATTCTGACCCTTGTCACTCGAAAGTGCCGTCCAACCATTTTTCAGCCTCTCATATATTAGGTGAGGAACAGGACAACCAATCACTGAACTCTGGCTTTTTTGGCTCAGATATTCTTTCTAAGTAGAGCTGGCTAATCACAGTTCCTGGCACAGTGACAGGGCTACTGGTGCTGACGTAGTCATGTTAGGTGGGGACACTAAATATCCTTATTAGAACTTCAGATGGGCTTTTTTTTCCAAAAAAAAAAAAATAAAAATCACTGTGTCCTGAAACATGCATGTTGTTAGCAAAATATTTTGGGAAATAAGCAGGCAAAGAAGGGCTGAAACTAATAAATACTTTTGTCACCAATTAATCGAATAGGTTTTTGCTTGGGTCATTGTTTTGTCTATAAAAAAATATACCTCAATTCAATTTTCTAGGTGTTTTGTTCAATCAGGAGTCCAGAGCATATAGATATAAAACATATTTAGAGAGGAGCAAGAGCAAGCAAATATTGACAATTTGAGATGCTGAAACCAGAGAATTTTTGCCCTTTTTGCTTTGACAAATGACTTGATTGAATCAAATCTGCAATTTGTTGCTGATAATGTGTCTGTCATTGACCTATTGATTAACCAACTCGTCTAACTTAATTGTCTTAGCTTCGAACAGAAACTTTTAATTACTAGAGTTTGAATCAATAAAGTATGTTCCAAACACCATTTAACTGGTTTTGCTTCCCATATTCCTTCATCAGACTCTAAGACCCTCATTCACTTATTTCTGCTGAATAAAACATGAAAACATTCATCTTCTCCATCGTTCAGAACTCTGTGGATCCTCTGGTAATCCAGTGACACGGCTTTTATTCGTGTGTATTTCTTTATAATTTTACATTTTCCCGCAGCTTCTCTGGATGATACCACCGTCTGGCTTCAGGCAGCAGTGTCAGAAGAGGTGTCGGCATTCGCAGCTCAGTCTGATTCCTCTGGTTCTGACAGCCAAGGTCCTCTCAGCGCCACCGCTGTCCTCAACCGGGCCTACATGCGCCTGCTCCACTGGGACCCGCAGGACCAGAAATATCCCGAGGTCAGCTGCAGCCTCAAAAATTACCTCTCACTGTGCCTTTCATTACGCCAAGTGATATTTTATTGATTATGAGGGAATATTTAGTTTCCCTACGCACTCCTCCTCACCCTGCTGCATGTTAAAGCATGTGACAACACACTGGAGCTCTTGTAAAACAGCAGCTCCAAACCTTTTTTTTAATCTGATGTGCCCACACAGCCCTGTCAGATGAACTCAAATACTCATTAATCAACATCTGATGCCTTTTAAATGTCTTTAGTTGAAATGATTTTAACCTCAACAGTAGAGCAATGTTTTATCACAAGTGATTTAGTCAAGTTTGTATTCATATATAACCCTTTAAAATGACTGAAGCTATATTTTTTAACCATGTAGCCATTGCTATAGCTCTCTATTTTAATATTTTATCTATTATGCTCTTTCAGCAGTTTATCTATTACTTTTGGCTAACAAAATCAACCAAATATCACTTTATTTAGATAAAATTCTAACAATTTAGCCGTTAGTTCAACTAGGTATTTGAATGATTTATCCATTTATTCTAGCTAAAGAAATTACAGCTTTATCGCCTGGTTTTATCTGACAAAATCAGCCATTTATCCATTAGATTTAGCAAATCATTTTCGTGATTTACCCATTTATTTTAAGGTTAAAAAAAACAAAAAAAACGTTTTATACATTACTTTTTAGCATCAATTTTTAGCCATCAATCCAGCTAACTTTAATTTTAGCAAACTGGTTAGACTTCTCAGCTGGCTCAGTATATAAAGTTGTGTTTGTTTGTTTTGATGTTGTTTTATACATCAAATTATAGCTTGTATTTTTTCCAGTTAGTTGAACTTCTCTACAATCTGTCACATACCCTCTCGTAACTGCAGAAGCATCCCCTGGCTAAGAATCCAATTTTGCTGGCTTTCTTAGAAAAGGCTCATATTTATGCTGTAAATTCCCAGTGATTAACCACCTGACATATGACCCTGACCTGCCCTCCACACAGACTGTGCTGATGGACCGAGCCCGCCTGGACGTTCTTGGCCAGCGGCTCCAGATGCTGGTCCTGGAGGCGTCAGTGCTGCTCCTGACCAGCACTCAGTGTGGGGTCGTTGTTTTCACCCTGCAGGGGTTTGTAGGTAAACTCAGGCAGTCCATCACTGCCCTGCTGGAGGGCAGTCACACCAGGTAAGAGGAGGATGTGGTGATGCATGTACTGGCTGTCATGGGGAACAGGTATTGTATGAGAAGGAAACCAATGGAGGTGACAGCAGGCAACTAGCTTGTCAGAACAGATCCAGCTAACCTCATTCTTTCTGTTCAAGAGAAGCCCCGTCATGATTAGTGGATAAATGTGGAACAGCAGCTTGCGATATTTGAGGCGCGCTCACACTCTGGCCCAAGCTGCAATAAAATGTAGCACAGGCTGTTTCTTGCTTAATCACCTTTATTAAAATGTAATTTTAATCTAAATGCCTATTGAGAGAACTACATGTTATGACTGCAGTGAGTCCCAGGACTCTTTACTTAGCACTCAGTGTAAATGGATAAATTCATAGGCCTGTGACCTAATACACATGTAATGAAGCCTGCTGGTAATTGCTGTATTTCTGGTTTCTGGTGCTACAGGGAAGCTGACCTGAAAGGGGCCCTGTTAGGGGTTGGGGAGATGGTAGTGCAGCAGGTGACCGAAGCTCTGAGAGCCCAAGGAGCAGCAGTGCTGCCTCAGGAGAACCAGGACCTGCTGAAGGGACAAATAACTGACCTGTGGAAGCATGACAACCCTGTTCGCATACTTACAGGTCAGCCATGAACCCAAGAGTAGATAAAGTATGAATGCAAGTACAAATGATACAAATCTACACTTTAGATTTCAGTTTCCAAGTCTTTATTTGTGGATGCTGGTGACTTTTCGTTGAAGGTGTGGTTTGAAAATTTTCTGAAATTCAGACTTAATAAAAATGCTACTGGAAAAAAAGCTGTATATTTTAGACTGTAAAATATCTTGGAGAGCTACTATTTTCAGTGGATACAAGACACATGACTTGCAGCTGTTGATTTTTATTATTATTAAATTTGACCCTTTTCTCTTGAATAGAAATTGTCATCATAGCTTTCCAGAGATCATGTTGAAATCATTATATTTCCTATTTTCTCTAACCAACTCAAAAAACAAGACAGTGTTCTGATATTTGCTATTATATTTGACATCAACGATACAGATCATAGATTTGATTGAGAGTTGATCTGGGGACAGACTATGTAACGCATTCAGCTTGAAAAAAACCTCAAATTATTAGTTGTCAAAATCAGACTGCATATATTTATCTGTATTAGGAACATCTGTAAACCTCCTTCTGCTGCATTGTCACAGGTACCAGCCTACCAACACTGAAAGATAAATGCTGAAAAGTCCTCTTTTAAATAAACACATGTAAATATAGATTTGTGTTGGAGTTTGCTGACTACAGGAATTTCACTTTTACTGGAAATCTATTTTGGTTCCAAATATCATTTATTGATCTCCTTGATTACCAACAATTGGTAGTAGCCTTGAAAAAAAATATTGGTTTACCCCTTATTAATAATATAACTTATTAACTGTTCAAGCTATAAAGCACAAATGGGAAAACAATGACAAGATCACATGGAAGAGAACCTTTTGTTGGATACTGTCGGGTCAAACAACTAACAGGCAGATAAAAAAGAAGCCTTTCAAGTAAAATGCGAAGAAGTCTTTTGATTAAGAAAGGTTAGTATATTTTACTCTGTGAAACAGCGGCATTTTGAGCATGCCACATTTCCCCCCGACAGGAGAAAGATGCATTATGATGCCAATAAGTTTGGGTTATCTCTGTCCATGTGGATGCTTTTAAACTTGGATGTGTGCTGGTGCAGAGCGCTGACTTCTCTCTCCCCCTCCCTCTCTCTCGATCAAACATAGGAGAAAGAGTACAGGGCTTCCTTCGGGCCATGCTGCAGGGCGGCCCCGCTAAAAGGAGTCCAGAGCTGTCTGCTCCCCTCAGGCTGGTGAGTGCTGAGCTAGCTGAGCTGGGGACGGCCTTTGGGCGAATTGTCCACTTCAACCGAACAGTCTTTGGTCCCTTCTATGCACCCATCCTCAGGAAACTGCTGTTCCCACCAGGAGAGGCTGAGGCTGAGGAGGACTCACGCTAAGCTGAGAGGGATCTAGACAATCAGTGGTGACCTGAACATAAGCTGCAATTCTGTATTAAACGTGTAGCCTTAAAATGTAAATAGAACGGATGAAAATGTTCAAGGGAAACTCAGCATTTGACATTCACAGTCTCTAAAGAAGGAATTGTTTTAGATTTTAGGTCAAAAAATGTCCAAATCAAAGCATTAAGCAGATACTGAATAATGATTATAGTGTATCTTAACTATGAACCTGTGTATGCAAAACATCAGGAAGTAGCTGTGTGGAAGAAACAAATACTAGCTTCCACTTTTAATGAGAAAATGCAGTATCCTCACATTTACAAGAGACTGACTGTGGTTCTGGAATGTTTTTAGAAAAAAAAAAGGAACCAAAGAAAATATGCTACCAGTTTTTAAATAATACTTAAGCTTCACTATGCAGCTGCTTATCTTTATGTTGACAGATGTTTATGTCTAACTTACCAAAGACAGTGAGCACTTTTTCATACCTATTATTTTCCTTTTTTTCCCCCTTTGCTGTTGTTTTTGCACCTTTGATTATAAACCAAAAATATACTCCAGTGTTTGCCCCACAGCTGTTGGTGTTGGTGGGGTGGGGAGGGAACAACGCTGATTTGTAAAGCAATACCTAAGTGATTCACTTTCACTGTTTGCCAGCCATTGAAACATTTAAGATTAAACAAATGAAAATACACATATTCAAAATTCTGAGAGGAATCACCTCTGTACATTTAATTACTTTGGGAAAACCACAACAAGATACACTTGCAGTGGGCTGAGCTTAGTTACAGTTGACTTTTTTGAAAACCTGTAATTGTCTAATTGTTTAATTAGGGTTCAGATGATGATGTCTAGTTCGTTATATTGCTGAAACTAAATAAGAAACTATTTGATTTTGGAGGAGAAACAGTTTTGAGTTGATCTCTCTGATAATGCCAGCGATGTGTTACATTTAAATTATTGCTCCTACAGTTTCAGGAAGCCATTTGTGTCTATTTATTTCCACACATTATTAAAATCATTCATCAGATTCTCGCTCATGTTGTCTAATCCACCACAGCAAACATCATGTTGATATTCATGCGTGCCGGTGTTGCGTGGTAATAACTGCATCACCAAAATAATAGAGAGTTGTGCAGATGAGATGTTCACTGTGATGGATCACACAACACACAATTTCAAGAGTCAAGACTTAAAACTTGTCAGGAAAGTTTCAAGTGTTGGCTGGCATACTTATTATTAGAAGTAGCAGGCTGGCACAATATTGGGGGGAAAAAAGACCACAATATTTAGTTTTTCTTTGATGTGAAACATTTTTACAAGATGAGTTGAATAGCTCCATTTGTAAAGAATTAATTGTTGTTATTGGGGAGGGTTTTGTAGGGCAGTGGATCTGCATAGAAAATCAAATAGCCATGTAAAAAAGATAAAGATAATAATATCAAAAAAATGTGTAAAGTTTTGTCTTAGCTGATATTAATAAACAATTGTTTTTAGAAAGCTTAAAAATAATATATTAAATATATTAAATTAAGGTTATTTTTCACCTGAATTGAGAGAATCTGCTAAAGGCAAAATCTAAGTAAAATTGAACTCCAAGGCGCCTAACATTAGCTTACCTGTACATAGTATACTTTACCAATGTTACCTAACGCCCCACATGCAGGCTGTGGTGTGCTAATGTCAGATTTACCTACGTTCAAACCAAACCTGTTTCTTGCACATTTTAATAAATACATGGAGAGCCTTTTATGTCAACAACTCCATGTCTCGCAAATAAAGTTATAAAAAAATCTCAGCATACCCACGAACCTTTAAATCAGAGTAAATGATGTGCTATTAGACAGACTTCTCTGGTCGACTAATTATTGAAATTGAGAACCTTGTTAGTTTTCTTTTTGTATCAGGCAGCAAAAAAAAAAGGTTTTAGCATGATGTGTTTAAGTGAACTTATTTTATGTTACATGAAACTTCCTGCGATGGGACTATTCCACATGCTCACATTGCAGTGTAAGTGCAGAAACAATATATTGTGCAGACCTAATAAACTGACACAGATGGTTACCTGGAATGGAGCTAAAATAACACATTTCTAACATGTATTATAATTTGAAGAATTCTATTCATAAATGGAGTTAAAACACATAAAAACACTGATATTGCTGCTTTAACTTCAAGTTGCTTTGCTACAAGTCCAAGGAGAACAGATGACAAGTCACAGAGCGACACATTTTGTTAAAAAATAAATGTCCTGGGAGTTTAACAGCACTTCCTGATGTCCTGATTTTTTCTAGAATCTTCAAAGTCAAAGTCTGTTACACTATCCAGATTTATAACTTGTTTTCCAAACTGCAACTTCTAAGTAGTCAAAAATATGTATTTTTACACTTTCAGTATGGCACAATGAAAAATATCAACATGCTTTTGTGTTTCCACGTGTAACATAATGTAAAGTATTTTAATGGACAAATAGTTTTATTTTTTTGAGGTGTATAAATTAAGCAAGACTTATTAGTTCCCGCTAACCGTTTTTTGTTTGTTTGTTTGTTTGTTTGTTTTTTTAAGTTTTTGATGCTTCTGGGAAATACCAACACATCAATACTGATCTGTGATTTTGAAACACCAACAGGCACTTGGATGCTTAGCTCTGTGACTGGAAATTGTTTTTAAAAAACTATACGAGAGGCACAAACTGGCGCTGATCGTTTGTTTAGATTAGAAGTTGCACCACCCACTAATCTCTTCAGCTGGGGAAACACTAGAAGTATAATTGTACAGTAACTACCGTGTTGTTATATTTGTCACTTTAAATTTTAAACAGCTGTTGTAATGTTTCTGTTCTTTTAACTACTCAGCCATAAAAAAAATCAATGCTGACAACAGACTTGAGAGGGATTCTTTAGTCTTTGTATTATTTAATTTCATTAATATAATATTGCTTTGAAATTTGAAACAGTATCACATTTTCATTGACAAACCATACTCTGTCCACAAACATGGGCAAAGCATTGTATGCTGGTACAGTTTTTTTTTCTTCTTCTTTTTTTTTCTCTACATTTTGTTACCCTTTAATAATTCCCACAGTTACTATCTTCAATAGACCTGAATCAATAGAAATGCTCATTAATGGTCTATATCATTAATGGTCTACAGTGCTATAACATTACAGTACCTACATGACAAGATCAGAAAGTCACATGGAGGCCAGGAAATAGACTTGACCTTTCTGACTGACCTTTCTCAAGACAGGAGTGATACACAGGTCCTGTTTAGCCAGTGATGGGGGTCCACAGGTTACCTTTTCGTCTGTGTGTTGGGATTCATCTCAGGGGCAGTGGAGGTGCAGGGGAATATACAGAGTGAGATCTAAATGTCAGAGTAGCGCTGGTTGGCCCTGCACATTGCGTAAGGCTTACCTCTCGGTTTCTCTCTCTACCTCTTTTCCACTGCTCTGCCCACTACCTCAACACACGCAAATAAAACCACTCACATCGGCTGCTCCCCTTCAACTCACAGCTTGGTATCCGGAAACTTGAATGCTGGGGCGAGCTACACAAGGAAAACACCAATGTTAAAAAGACCGGTAACATGCACAGCCATATCATGCCACCAAAACTTGCTTTAAATAGCTGCTGCTCATTAAAGTGTAATGCTTTTATATTATGCATCCATTCTAGAGCAGGTTGTCTTGGTGACACACAAAATGGAAGAACATACGTGACAAAAAATGTTGGGAGGAATGACGACAATGGCGAAATGTCGGGATGGGGATGAATCGCTTTGTTCTGGCGTGTAAACGAAGAGGGGAGGGAACATAAAAAGCGAATGGTGGATGAGTGAAGAGGAGACGAGACACTGCTACAGTACGTACAAAGACTGCTCAGGCCAAGTGCATCAAAGGGTACAGAACACAAAAAACACTGCCAACATGCATCGTCAGTGGAAGCTAACAGTTAACAGTCAGAACAGAGTGGCAATGACACAGCCACGGTACCGCACACAGACCGGTTACATCTTAACAGTCTCCAGACACACTGTCTTCTGGAGAGGAGCTCAATCCCTCACTTCTCCTGCAGCACACAGAAACAAGGACAGTGGCCAGTGATGTAACAGTAACAGTCCAAACTCCCATGAGGACAGACAGAAACAAGGCGTAGAGCACGCACGCTAGGTAGTGCACACGGGAGGTGGGCGGGGGGGGAGAACCCACAGATATGTGTTGACTCCACGGCGAGCATTTTTTAATCACAGTGCAGGAGGAAAATCCTTTGCAAAAAAAAAAAATGGTGTCATGTTCTCAGCATAACAAATCCATTCGCATTAACACGACACCAGAGCAACGTTTAGATTTGGCTCTTTTAATGTAGTGGAATTAAATCTTTTCACTGCTGTTTATTTTCAAGTGACATACTTTGCATGTACTGTACCTAATTCTAAATTGGCGTGAAACAGCATGGATACCTACCCATGTAATCATGATAATAAGATGCTATGTAGGGAAAGGTGCACTAAATTGTGCTCGGGGGGCTCATTAAAACACTCAAGTTAAATTAAATCTCTTTGAAAGTGTTTTTTTGTTGTTGTTTAGATTACCAAAATTGTGAAATGTGAACCAATGTCAGTACACCTTTTTTTTAAATTTGTTTTTTTCTTCATTTTTTTGCCTCTGGTTGTAATATTATCGGGATGCTTCGTGATCCCTTCTCAATCATTCTGTCCCAAAGTGTTTCAGTTTGCCCCGTCTATCAAAAAAGTATCACAAAATGCACTAATGTCCCGTTTGCACCATAAGAAAAGAAAACAAGGATTTAAAAGGGATAGTGCCATGTTTTTTTTGTTGTTTTTTTTTTTAAACACAGTGTTTCTTTTTTTTTTTTTCTCTTTAAATTGACAAGAAGAAGAAGATGTTGTGATTTGCAGGCTCTCAGTGCTACCATAAATGCTGAGAGGCACTGGGCAGTACAAGGCCAGAGCAAAGACTCATCCTGACAAACCTGTACCATCATTAGAACAACGTCATCCCAGCCAGTCACAGTCAATTTAATACACCAGGAAATCAGAAGTGTTTTTTTTTTTTTTTTTTTCCTTTTTTTAAAAGTCTTTCAGAAGCAGGGTGGAGGCGTGCAGTTGTTGGGTGTTTGTGTTTGGGGGGTGGGGGGGGAGTCAGGGGAAGGTTTTTTTTTTTTTTTTTTTAGTTGATTATAGATAACCGAAATAAAGTAGGGCTGTTGTCCTCGGTAAAGTGTAGGAAAGTTGTCCTCCCGCATGTGGGTGTACGAGGTCTCAGTTCTTGGTCCGTTTAGAGTTCAGACATCAGTGATAAGATTTGTGACCGATCCATTGTGGTCTTACTATGAGTACTGTACAAATGCGTAGAAAAACAAAAACACAAGGTTGTTTGCTGCATGTTGCTGTTTTGTCTTTTCATTGATTAATTGTCCGTCTTGCATCCCATGCTAGCAAAGCAGCCTCCTCATAGTGCCTCACAGTGGTAGATGCCTGGTAAGACAGGACAGGCTACAGATGGAGAAAGAAAAAAATTAAAACTGTCTTGAGGCAAAACAACCAAACAATTAAATAAATTAGGAATAAATTAAAAAAAAAAAAGAAGAAGAAGTTTAAAAAAAACAAAAGAAAGAAAACAAATCAGTTTTATTTTACAGATTTGGAATCTTCAATCTGTTAAAGGCAAAATTTAACATTTCGGGGCATAGGCATATTCGCTTTCTTGTTGGAAAATTATGCGAGAAGATTAATAACAAACTCACATCCGTGTAATTGTGACTCTGCTGCCAGCAGCTGGCTAGCCTGGCTCTGTCTGAAGGTAACAAAATCAGCACCTCTAAAGCTCTCTGACTGGCACATCTTGTTTGTTTAATCCACAGAAAACCAAAACATAAAAATGACAAATCGCACTTCAAGACGCGGTCGTGTGCCAGACTAATCCAAACTTGTCAATTTTAAGAAATGGCCAGTAACCGGAAAAATAATGAAGATGCAACTCTGGGAAACAGTGTAACAGTGATTTGTTGTTGTTATTTCCACTTGCTGGTGGGCTTCAGAGATGCTGCTTGTCAGATTTTGTCATTTTCATATTTATTACACAGACATGAGAGTGGTATCAATATTATTTAATATATGATATCCAACTCTCTGCAAGAAATGTAACAAGCATATTTCCCAAAATGTCAAACTGTTCATTTAACAGTTTAACACACTGACACCTTCAGTATTACATAAAACTGTAGTTTACTCCATAAATTAAATAGAACATTTCTGGAAGTACTTCAACTTGCTGTTAGGTCGAGCCAGTGTGAAGTCTAGATACAGAGCAAAATAATAATAAAAAAATAAACATGCTTGTTTTGCCTGTGGAGAATCTTTTTTTTTTTTTAATGGCTTGAAAGAGGAAGAATAATAAAGATGTAACCTCTGGGAGCTATCGGGGATTTGGAGGCAGATGCAAGTTGTCAGGAAGAGGAGGATGAGGAGGAAGAGGCAGTTTGGTTGAGAGAGCAGGGCCACTGTAAAATGAGATCAGTCCGGGATCATCCGTTCCAGGGCTCCGCCATTGGCTGCAGCAGCAA